ACAAATTTTATTTAAGTATAATTAGGCATTCTCGCTTCTTAAGATATTTGATAAACAATACTTTAAAATGACAAGAAAATAGTTACCGAAAAATACCACATGATGGAGAACTATAAAATATAATTTTTACATAAAAACATTACATTAAAACACATTATTGTGTAAACATATATCTAAAGTTCATAAAAGAATGAATAAATCTTGTTTATCCTTCACAATCTTGCATATTATATTATCACTTCTCGTTCTTCGGAAATTAATTCCGACCACAGCCATGTCTAAATTTAATACGACCGCAAAGGGTTAATTTATCTGGTATGAAGTATATATTCTAATATTATTTATAGTGATCTGTATAGTAATTTGATGTATCTGCTTATAAGTTAATATAGCCCTATCGTTTTACCATCTAATCTTGGAATATATAATAAATTATTTTCTTTTGCATTTTTCAGTTTAGTATTTTCGTAGCAGTTTTATTAAAAATTTTCTATGATCCAGTAAAAGATTTCGCGTTACCCGAACACATAATACAATTAAACCAGTGACGATCAGTCTAAGCCTGTTGTGAAATTGATCGTTGAAACCCCTTAGGAGTAGACTATTTTTAAATACGATTATCAACCATAACGAAATGATTCCGAAGCCGGGAACCTCGGAAATAACGTTACCATAAAAATTACTTTGTCTCGTAACTTCGTTTTTCAGACAAATTTCTCGCGAAATCTAAAAAGCGATAGGACATACTTTCTCTGGATCTGCCATAAATTGCTCTGGGAAATCAGGTTTGATTTCAGTTTACTTCCAAGAGTGGGAGGAGCAAATACTCCTTTTAGTTTACGTTTTTTTAGAAATATTAATTTTACGTTTATTTACATTCGAATAAAAAAATTATAATTCATAGTTTGGTTTGGTTATGTATTTAGTTTAGATTAAAGGCGGTATTTGATTGAAAAATTGAGAAAGTAATCACCCCCGAAACAGTATTAACACTTTCGCTGCGAATGACGCACATGTGCGTCCAACTGAATAAATTTTGATAATACATGGTTGTTTTTATTATTTTTCAGTTTTCATTTTTTTTGTTCGCCAGTCATATTATATATAAAATAAGTTACTACAAATATACGTTTTTCAAAATAATCATATTAGAACATTTTTAAGAAATTTTTCATTAAAAAAAATATAATTGTAGCTCTTAGCGAATGGTAACTTTTTTTTTTTTCGTCCGCAGCGAAAGTGTTAAAATGCTACTCCAAAAAAATCACTACTTTTCATTGCCTTTAAAATTTGCACTCATCTACAAAAAAGAAAACGATTTTAAAATGTTAATTTCATTTCATTCTACCGTAAATTGCTGTAGGAAATTAGATTTAGTTGCAGTTTACTTACAAAAGGAGGGGTAAAAATTCCCTTAGTTTATTTATGTTGTGTTTTTTTTATATTCAGTTACAAAATTATAATTTCTAACTTGGTTTAGTTATACATATATTTAGTCTAGACTAAAAACAATAATTGGTTGGGAAATTGGGAAAGTATATTTTTTTCTCTAAAAAGAATCATATTTTTGAAATTCCTCTTAAAAATGTTCGCCAATCCACAAGAAATAGGCAATTTTTAAATTCGAACTTTTAAAAAGATCCAACAAAAATGTAAATTTCCCGATATCAAGATCGTCTTTAAATATTTCTTTGTGATTTCTTCGCTATTTTTCTGTCAGCATTTATATCATATCATATTACCAGATCGCTGCAATTTTTAAACGTCAGTAAACAACCAAAAAATTGATAAAATGCATACCTGGCATCACTTACTGAAAAAGAGTGCCCCAGTTACCTAAAAGGAGTCATTTATCTATCCACTAGAAAGTGCAACGAGTTTTCCTCGACCGTACTATATTTCTCAGACATAAATTACGACCAGATCGGAAACGCCAATCCGTTTTCCCGCATTTTTCAAGCTGAACAGACACCAGAGTGCCTCCCACGCCCCCATAGTATGTCAAACGCAGCCCGATGGAAGCATCAGTTTTCCCAGACATTCAATGTGGAAACCCCCCAACCCTCCTCTGTGTTCCTTCGGTGAAAATCCCCGTGGCGAGTTTCACATACGATTTTTTTTTTCTCCATACGCCTACTTTTCCCTGCGGCCCACTTTTTTCACCCCGCTGTCACGGGGACACGCGTCGACGAGCCGTCACTGAGTGTAAGGGCGTTTATTATCGACGAGGAAAAATCGTTGTTTTCGATGTCGCCGCGCCGCGATGCTTCAGAGCAATTCAAAGTAGGCCAATTTAAAGGAGATGGGCGTCCAAAGCTTGCAGAGTAGAGTAGAAGCAATTTTCTTATCTGAATGGAGAATTTCGAATGACGAGTCGAAGGTGAAGGATTTTTTTGAGTATAAATTGCAGTATGACCGATAAAAGCCCTCTCCAAGCTTGTGTTGACTTTAAATTCATACGTACATTGTTATTAGTATGTATCAGTTGTGGCTGTAGAGCAATTAAATAATCTACAGACGATTTAATTATTATTAATCATTTAATTATTAAGTATTTATTAATTATTAATTATTTAATTATTAAGAACTCGAGACCCTCGAATTGTCACTCAATTTTTAACCGACTTATGAAAAGAAGGAGATTTCTCAATTCGACACGTGTATATTTTTTTTTTCATGTCTGTTTCCGATTAAGTATGCCGAGATGGATTGAACAATCGGAATGGAACCTTATGCATCTTGTAAAGCGTCTCTTTCAGTTGGTCCCTTAAAAAAATCTTTGGCTTTGTTTTATTTTTTACCACTTTATATCACTTTTTATCGCAATAAAATAATTTTTGGAAAAAGAATATAAATGACTTCGAAAAATAGTAAAACTGCACTAAAAAGTATGAAGTAATTTCTAATTAATTTATATGAATACTCGCCAGCTGTAGATATAATTGCTTAAAAGTATGAGAAAATGCAGTGAAAAGTGTGAAATAATTTCTATTTAAACTGCTTTATTGTTCACCAGCTTTTGATGAATTTGGTTAAATTATTAAATACAGCATATGAAATACAATGCAACCGTTTTGGAGGCGGCGCAAAATTTAAAATAACGTACATTCAAAATTACCAAACTTGGTTTAACTATCTCCCGGAGGAACAAAAAATATCATGTTTAATTAATGCTGTTGTTATGTCCGCTTTAGACATCATATACATTAACACTATTCAATATCGCTAACCCCATCAAATACTATCCCAAACCTACTCAGACTGTATTTCTGTCTAAATAGTATACACATTAACTGTATGGAATATTGCCCCCACCCCTTCGCCACAACAAATACATCAAACCCACTCAGACAGTACACATGTATACATAACAGCATTCAATATTGCTGACCCCACCAAAAGCTAACTCAAGTCGGAATTAAAATTTTTAATTTTGCGCCGCCTCCGAAAAGCTTGACTGGTATTTAATATGCTGTATTCAATAATTTAACCAAATTCATCAAGAGCTGGTGAGCAATAATGCAGTTTAAATAGAAATTATTTCGTACTTTTCATTGTATTTTGTCATACTTTTAAGCAATTATATCTAGAGAAAGTGAGTATTCATATAGTTAACTATTATAGAAATTATTTCATACCTTTTAGTGCAGTTTTAATGTTTTTCGAAGTTGATTATATTTGTTTTCTCCAAAAATTATTTTTACTTACATTTATAGAAATTGCATGTTTATTATTGCATGTATACTAGTATCAACAGTTAATACATTAAATATATTTGTTTATCTTATCAATTATAAGCATGTATCTATTTTTATAGATATAAATTTCTTCTCTTTAAAAATAATAATAACATGATCAATGTTCATGTATTAATTCTACTTATATTTACAGAAATTGGACCTTTATTAATACTATTATCAACACTATTACTAATTTAAATTAATATTCGTATTTTCGTTTATCAATATTCATTATATACTTTAATTAAAATAATTTCCTGACTGTTCGTATCACCAAGTAACTATATTTATTCAAATAATTCAACATTATTTTTTGAGTTACTTCCTTTATGTATATTCCTACTGTATTCCTCTTTCCGATGGAAATGAAATTCCCCCAAACTTTCACTCCTATACTACTTTAATAAATAAATCCGTTTACATTCCAATTATTTCCAGACATGCAAAAGCAAGATACAAATACATTTTGACACATTATCCATACTAATATATGTATACTCATACTAATCCATACTAATAATATTATGAATGCTCACGCACACCTACTTGTTCCTGAAAGAGAGTGCACCCAGGTGTACGGTGTGCAACGAAACCCTTAGCATAAACCACATTTTATTTAGCTGTCAGCATTTCTTTAGAATTAGGAAAGTTTCGGAATCCCAAACAATATGAATGAAATTATGAATTCGCATGACAGCATTAGGGACTTAATTCTATTCCTAAAAGAAACCAGAATTTACGACAGGTTGTAAAAGTACATGGATGATAGATCTAAATGTATAAAGTCGCTCATAACTTTAGCTCTTAATGCGACATTTTTACATTATTAAATTTATTATATATATTATAAATGCGAAAGTAACTCTGTCTGTCTGTTACCTTTTCACGCTTAAATCCCTGAACAAATTTCGATAAAAGTTGTCACGAAGATAGATTGCATTCTGAGGAAGGACATAGACTATATTTTATTTTGATGAAGTTAAGGTTTCATTTCGAAATCTAAATATTTGTAAATAAAGAATGAGAAATATTGATTGAAAGATCTGTATTACGTAAAACAAAAGACGGTCAGGGACTGGTTCACGAAGGTGCTCATACGTACTTAGTTGAACTGTCAGTCGAACGCAAACGACAGAAAATAAATAGTATTCCTATAAAGTTCCTTGGGAATTGCACGTTCGAGCCAATTTAATCAATTAACTGCCGTCAATCTTTTCCAATCAAAGAAAGCATCGCTGATTTGTTGTTTTTCTGTTACAGAGTTGCCAGCCGAGGAGGGTAAGTTCTTTTCCACCGAAAGGGTTCTTTTTTCCTGACGATCGACACGGTAAGCCATACCCAGCAACAGATTGGCATCAATCTTCGTGCTCGTTCCGGATACTTGTTGTTGGCCAATGCTAATCTCGTGGCTCGGTTTCAATACTTCGTGGCCCGAATTATTTTCGGTCTTTCGGTCCAGCTGATCCGCATGACATTTGAAACACACTTTCACCAGCGTCGCCTACGGACCGTTTGAAATCGGTTCTAGATTTACAGAGCACACAGTGCTCGTTGAACCGAGTGAACAATGTCTAGCAGGCGGAAATATAACCTTGTTCAAGTTTTCGTGTCTATTTTAGATTTCGATACTACGAATGATCCTGTTCAACAGGTTTTTACTTGAATGTCAGGGGGTATTATGAAAATATGCAGTTCAAAAAAAATTTCTAATTTTGGACGAATAGTTTGGTGTATTTTAATCGTTAAAATTAGAATGTATCGATTTTTATAACGAGACAAAATTATTATACAGTAAGCGTATAGTTAGATGCTAGGTACCAGATACAATAAAAAGTTGTTAGATACGGTTTTTTTTTCATATTATGTACATACATATTTACATTATTAAATTTATTACAGTGTAATAAATGCACGGTAAAAATATATGTTTTTTTATATATAGGGCATTTCAAGCTACTTCGATCACTTTTGGACCTGACCATTTTTTATTTAGTTGAAATTTTTTTACATAATAGTACCCTACTGAATACATTTTTTGTGAATGTTTGCAGACTTTTCGTTTGCCAAAAATTGACCAAATTGGACGATCTTTTTTTTCTTCCAAATGTGCGTTTATGAATGAACGTTACGAAAAGAGTACAAATCAAAATATTTGAATTCGTCTCTTATAACATTTTTTTGATTTTTCGGAATAAAACTTAAATTTTTTAAATCTCGACACTTAATTCCCCCCCCCCCCCATCTTTGTTTTTCCCCATTTCATAGCATAAGTCTCAATCTGGACCGATTTTTTTTCCTTTCTTTTTTAATTAAATATAATTTTTTTGTTCATTAAATATGTTAATTTTGTTAATTTTGTTCAAAAAATATGTGCGACTTTTTTCCGTTTGAAAAAGTAGGAAATATAAAATCAATAATTTCTTTATGATAACACACTTTTTCAAAAAATCTGAAAAAATTATACATTACTAGTTGTAATGTTTTGTTATATCTGTAAAAATATGAAGATGATCTCATAAGTAATTAAAGCAATATAAAGCATTTTCCCAATTTTTTAATGATCTTTGATTTTTTTGATCACGTTCCACACCTACGAAAAATCTGAAAAGATTAGAAATTACTAATTCTAATAAGGGCTTCATATTGCATAAATATAAACGTGGTCACTTAACAACTTCGATAAAAGAATCGGCGATTGAAATATTTTCGAATTTTTTAAAAATCGAATTTACATCCAAAAATTCTGGTAAAATTCTCGAATGTGCATATTAATTGGTAAAATAATCATGATTTTTTTGATAATTTTTTATTGAGCAGAACGGGAGATATTAAGGATAAAGGGAAAAATGATTTCTACTCCGTAATTACCACTGTAGTAGAGGTCAAAACTCTGTGAAAAGGGGATTTCTTCGAATCACCTATCGAATGGCATGAACCCCGTTCAATTTCGTTTGAAGGCACTTGTACCATGTTTATTTGGCTAAACCCTTTATCACCTAACATGCTGAGCTTCTTACGATCGATTTTTTGAGTTTATCCCGAAGCAAGAAACCAAATTATATATACAGAGTCTACCCGTTAAGTTGTGCTACTGTATTTTAAGTATTTCCGATAGCGTATATCTTTAAATCTGAAAAAATTGCTTTTCAGGTTAAAATGTAAAGGTCATCTTCACTTTTTTAAAGGCCACCTTATTTTGTACGTCATAGGGTCGATGCCGATGTCGAGACGAATTCATCGGTGTATCATATTATAACCTTGAAATGATTTTTAATCGACAATTTTGTGAAAACGTAATATTAATGAACAATTATTTCTTACAAGATAAATCAGGTTATATCAGATGTTCGAACTGCGATCCATCTTCTACGATACAGAGTACTGCTCTTTTCATTGTCGCCATAATTGGGCCGTTTCGGTTTGTATTATTCCGTGGAGTTGTTATGCGATTCCGAAGTTCTTGAACATTATCGATTGTTGTGCCGTATACAACGGATTGCAGATATTCTCAAAGATAAAAATCCAACGAAGACAGATCCGGAAAACGCGGTGACCAACGAACTGGACCATTAGTTTCTATCCAACGATTTCGAAACTTGTTGTTAAGATATCTTGTAATTGTAGCATTGAGCGTAGGACAACCGTCTTGTTGAAGATACAGTGAGTTTAGAATGTATTTATTTTATTGCTTCAAACCATAACTGGCTTATACAGCATACAATAATTGTGGTAAATACAATTTAGTTACATCAAATTCTTATGTTACAGTCTTTGAGAAAACTATAAATAATTTTTAACTCTTTAATATCCGGTTCACTCAAAAATGTGTTGATATAATACGGAGGACGATATTCGTTACTAAGGAGCATATGGAACAAAACTTCACGCTGATCATTGTGTTGCGGGCACTGCCAATTCTCAAAATCACGATCAATTTCTCAAAAAGCCATGTGTGAAATTATAGTTTATTAATTCTTTTTATACTCAATGGTATCCTATATATTCTCGGAAATCTCTAGAGTAGATATAGTCCAAGCAACAATTACTAGTTTATATAATTTGCAAAATTAACAAGAAAATACGAAAAATCGGCAGAAATAAAGAAGAAATAAGTATAAGTTTATTGCTTCGTACAAATTAGAAAACATCAAATATCCAGTAAAAGTACTTTTAAAAAGGTCTCTAATAGAAGAATGGAAAAAGATCCCACTTCGAATAACTAATAATGTAGTTAATTTAATGCTTAAAAGAAATTTCTTTCTTTTTTTTTTACGTAAAATATCATTGATTATTAAAATGAAAAAAAGTTAAGAAAACTACAATTTCATACAAAAGTAAGTAGAGAACTTGATCGGTACGATACGAATACATTCTACGCCCACTGTATAATTGGAACCACATAAAACAACGATAGTTATCCTTACGATTGCAAATAATACAAATCAGTCATCAAAATATATCATTTTCACGTTGCGTTTTTATTCACCCAATTGTACGGTAGGAGGTTAGGGTTATAAATTCAGAAAAACATCGCGAGCCGTGGCCAGGACGAACGTTATGAAATCAACTTGGCAGTAAACACGTTAACGCAGTCGTTACTTAATTGTTTGCCAGACCATGATGACACAAATAGTGGACAGGGTTGAACGTCTAATGCCAGATCTTTGGCACTCATAGGTTCTCCTAAAGGTATCGGATCATGCAAGATCGAGGCTTCTTCCTGCCGTGTTTACGTACTTATTGTTAGGTGTAATCCGTGGTACCCTTCGATCCCTTAAAAATAGACGCACTTGTACGTGGTCGGTGGCTCGCGTAGCTTTTCAAGACGATTGGCCACTTGTCGGTGTAATTATTTTTAGAGGAAACAGCTACGCTCTTTTTTCATCCAGGATCGTCCAGCAAATCGTTACCGAGCTAATCTTTGTAGGTTTTTCGGTTCTCGTGAGCTTTAAACGATCGTAAAGTATAACACACCAGGCATCGATTTTTATTCCGGAAGCGTTCGCATGACGTTCACTCCGGGATTTAAATCGTCTAGCTAAGCTGGGGAATTAAAAATGTCTGCGGAATCTATTGCTAGTCTGTTTCGAAGAGACAGGGTGTTTGGGAATTTATGATACGATGTGCGCTGTGGGTTGTTTAAAGTAAGCAATTAAAATTTGTTTGGTTGCTGTGGGATTTTAAACAAATTTAATTTATTAGTCTGTAGAGATAGTGCTGAAGAAAATTAGTGGTAGCGTTTTATTTTTAACGATGTCTATTCGATTTGATCACGAATTACCGATTGTATGATTGTAGGGACTAGAGATTTCTTTCTATTAGCTTCTTTTTCACACTTCCTTAATGATACTTCCTTAATGATGACTACTAAACGAAACGTCTGGTCGTGTTCTATTTTCATAAGATCAGCTCGACGTTTTTTGCTTTGACGGCTGAAAGTCGACATACAACAGGGAATAGTAAAATTGATTTGGCGGCTGAGAGTTGTTACATGACCGAAAGAATAAAATAACTTGGAAAATTAAGAGTCGACATACGACCGGTATGATAAAATTGCTTTTGGCAGTTCAGCGTCTTTAGCAGAACAGTCGAGCAGTGTATAGTGTAGCCGACTACTATGCAGAGAGTCCGGGTTCGAGTCCAGGGCGTTCGCCTAAGTTTTTCAAGGTATAGCTAAGAAGAAAAACGTATCGAAAGCCGGTAGCTTATTTAAATATAAGAAAACATATAATATTATATACTAAATGTAAAGATATATATATTTAAGTTATAAGCGTGGTGCTTATAATAAAAGGATGGGTAAATAACGGTATAACACTGATGACTTGTGTTGATGTAGTAAAACAATACTGGAACATTATATTAACAACACTTACATAAATAATTACAACACTTCATGTATCACAATTCATGTTATCTGAATCAACAACAATGTCGGGTTTAGGATCAAAGACTCAGGGTTAATAATTTAACACGATCTTTTGCTTATAATAATACAGAGCATTCATATTAGTTTTGATTCATATTAGTCTTAACACTTTATCTACCGTGCTATTTAGAAACAGACTTTAATTCAAAAAAGAATTTCTATACTAGCATATACCAATCTAGGCTGACAATAATTCCTTCATACTGTTACTAGGTACATTGAAAGCCAAATCTGTTACCAAACACTGAACATTGTAAGTAGACAACCATCGATACAGTAAATGAATTCGAATAGCTAAATACTGCAATTAAAAAGCCTAAAAATAGGTTCCCCGTAAATAAAGTGTTAGGTCTGGACAAACTCAGGGAGTCAATTCTACAACTAATTTCCAACAAAAAATTCCTCTGAAACATTTTTCTAGAGACCTCTTATTTAGGAGTATTTTCACTTTTTATTCCTTTTTTGTGTTTTCGACTGTACACTCTGTAAACGGTCATAACTCCATCAACTTACAATGCAAAGTAAAAATTAAGTATACCATTCGAAAGAGCGTTAAATTTCCAATCTCCTCGGTACCAAACCAAAATTTATTATGTAGATTTAACAAGTGAAAAATTACGTCAAATCTTAAATTGTGACAATTTCTAAAAATTTGACTTTTTTTCTATGCGTTTTCCGGTTTCAAATACATAGTTGATTGGCGGGAACTCCTCGGAAGAAACTTTCTCGAGGTCTCAGCTTTTCAATGATATAGTCAAAAAGATTTTACAATGGTATTTTAGGGAGAAAATAACGTTTGAATGCAGGAAGACGTGCGCTTTTAGGTAAAAATCGACATTTTTCAACAAAAATCAACTTGTCACTTTAAAATTAGCTTGACATTGGATTAACTAAATACTGCAATCAAAAAACCTATAAATAGGCTCCCGGTAAATAAAGTGCTAACCTCTAATTTTCTCGAAACAAGAGAAAATGGACTTACATCACTTTCAAAATAAACGGTCCATATAATGGAAAGGAGGAGTGCAATATGTGCATACCTGCACATGCACTTAAAACATAAACGACGAACAACAACGACATACGACCACAATGGGTTGAACTACATTTGACAGCTGAGAGTTGACATACGACCGCAAAGAGTTAAATCGCCCCCTCTTTTCATCAGATGGTCCACAACTCATGATTCCCTCAATTGTGCAACTTCAAACGCCCTTGACAATGGAACGCGCGTATCGAGGGTCTGAAAATCAAAAGCAACGCGTCAATCCCGCGACGAAGGTCACCCCAAAGGGCATCACGACGCCTTACGGTTCGAGTGCATCGAGCGTAATGCCGACGCAATTACTTGCAAATCGAGTGTCGACGACGACGATCGTGCAACAGACATAGCTGACACGTTTACAGACTTGCACTCCTCCCTCTATCTCACTCGGCGTCGTGCACACGTGAAACGGTAATGCAACGAGGCCTGGTGTGCGCTCGAAAGCTGACCTGCTTTGATAGCGATGCCTTCCATCATCGACGGCATCTGCGAGTAGCTTCTCCTTCCCCCGCGACGCCAGTCGCCGACTTAACGTACCACGTTCCAGGTCTAAGTGCTCGATACTAACGCGTCCCAACGATGTCGGAATCGCATTTTCGAAGACGCCATCGGACCCCTTATCGAAGGCTCCTCTTTGATAGAGTGGTCCTTTGACGTCGCGACACTTTATCGCCCCTAAAGCGCCGATTTGAGGGCAAGTTTCTCGATCCGCGACTGTGCGATACAAGGGACGAATTATTCGACAGGTTACTTAACCTGTTGATGGCGCGAATGAATACATACAGAGTGATTCGTAACAGGTGGCAAGTGATACGGACGGAATTTTATTTGAGTAAGAACAGAGGGAGCAGGAAAGATGAAACGTGTGGAGATTTACTCGTGGTATTTGTTACAGTGGAAGTAAATCAGTCATATTAAAGAATTTTTTTTTTGCCAAACATTGCATAAAATGCTGTAAACTTGCTTTTTTGATATGTTGTTACGGACCACCCAGATAGTATAAATCTAGATTTGCAACCCTCAGAAGCGTGAGCCAGCCGAGTTACAGCCGAAAACCCGCGAAGTTTTCACTTTTTTCAAGTAGATACAATTTCCTACGAAAATTGACAATGAGGGAACTTGCGGAATCGCGATGGAGGAACATTAGAGAATTATGAATGTTCACTTGTAAGCTCGTGGAAATCATGTTTATTTTCTTGCAACGAAGTGTTCCCTATCGAAAACTACCCTGATTGTGTAATTCGTTAAAATAATTGCCCAATCAGGTAGCCCATTTGACCTATGTCCTACTTTTCTCGAATGGTACAAAATCGGCCGTGGAGCATTTTCCCCGAATCCGCGAGGCATGCACCGCGGCTTGCCGTGGGCCCATGTAAATCTCAAATCACTCGTTTCGTCGACCGTTTCGTTCGACCTAAACGAACGAAATGTTCCGTGGCGATCTCATTCAAAGAAACCAGGGCTTAAGAAATGGCAATCCACAGAAGACCTCGACGACATCTTCTTTCACGATAGTGAAAACGGAATTCTTCTGACGGCACCCCACCTCCCCCAAAGATCCACAAAAAATGATATTGTAAGTCAAAATACCTGTGGTATCGATTATACATTTTCTCCAACTTTTCCTTGAACCGAATTTTTACCTCTTTTGGTTTTCATTAATTTAAAAAAAAATTATATAATGGGTACAGGTCCCGCTATGGTCTTAAAATTGAGGTAATTAAATTTGCTTCAACTTAATTTCTCATGAGTTTAGTGTAGGATAAGTATTTATGTCAATATATCCGTCGAAAGTAGGCTAGAAGTTAAAACATCCACTTTTTGGAAAAATGTGTCAATTTTTGTAGAACTGTATCTCTGGAACTAAGAGAGTTACACAGCTCCAACGCATCTCAAATTATAGGAAATTGTATCTACTTACAAAAAGGTAATAATGACTTTTCTCGTCAAGATACTCCTTTGGTGATTTTTTTGCGAAAACCTGAAAAAAGTGTGCAAATTTCACGGATTTTCGGCTGTAACTCGGCTGGTTCACGTTTCTGTGGGTTGCAAATCTAAATTTATACTGTCTGGATGGTCCCTAACAACATATTAGAAAAAGCAAGTTTACGGTATTTTGCGCAATGTTTGGTGTCTAAAATGACTGGCTATAACCATGTACTAAAGTTATATTTTTATTTGGGATTAAAAAAAAATGGTTGGGAAGAGAAGTGTAGTCCTAATTTAATTAAAAAGTTTTTCAGGTAGTGACGATGGAAAAAGTAATCATGCTTTAAGGATATTTTTAACCGACTTCGAAAAGGAGGAGGTTACTCAATTCGACTTATGTTTTTTTTTTATGTCTGTTCACCGATTACGCCGAGATGGCTTGACCAATCATAATGAAACCTGTTGCATCTTGTAGAGCATGATCCCCCGGTGATCCTGCCATCAAGACATTTGTGATTTGTCATTTTTTACCCGTTTTTTTTTTTTTTTTTTTTTTTTTTTTTTAACAGAAAAGTTTCGTCTTGCATCTGGAAGAGCATTTTCCATTTGGTCCTATAACAAACCATTTGTCCTTATTTTGTTTTTTACCAATTTATATCACTTTTTATCTCAAAAAGCGTACTATTTCACGTATGTTTGGCCTGAAATCGATGAAATCCCTTACATTTTGCTGCCGTACAGGTTTTCGCGATGATCACATTTGCAAAAATTTATGAATTTTTCATATTGTTTATAACTATTGTTATTGCAAAATTCCTATTTTTTTTTTCTTGGTTCATTAATTAATTCCGATTCCGATCCCGATTAATTCCATATTTGTATAACCTTCCAGCATTCCTGATAATCTCATTTGCAACAACAGGGTGTCCCAAATATGTTGGATGTTGTTACGAGCCAGGGCGATAGCGACGCGCGTGTGAGCCCTGCGAGTGGGATGGATTCGAGAATTGCACCGATACGATTAATTAGTATGTATCAATAGAGTCGAAGATTTGAGGATAGGGTAGATAATGCAGACGACTCTGACGCGAAGTCAGATAGTTGCAGGAATCGGTATCTCCCAGTGAAGGGTAACCGTAGGTTAAGATGTTTGATTGTCTTGGTTATTGAAGACAAACGCAGACGCCTCTGACGGGAAGTCAGGTAGCTGCTGGGAATTGGAATCTCCCAGTAAAGGGTAACCGTTGGGTAAGGTTCGAACTGTGAGGTTGTTGGAAAAAGTGCAGCGACTCTGGCGCGAAAGAATATAATGATGGTACAGCTGAAATGGCGCGCGTTTCGTGCCGAAGGCCTTCACCAAAATTTTCGAACCGCCGCCATTTTTTTTTGTTATTTCAAAAAAGTTTTCATGTGTTTATTAAACTGTTTTTTTTTTTTAATATGTCAAATTAAAAAATATTTTTTTCTATACTTTCGCATTTATGAATTTTTTAAGAATTGTACCCATCTGACGAGCGCTCAGGGTGGCCAGACGCCTTAAACAAATACATGAAGAGTATTGTCGAGGTGTCCACAAAATAAACTCTTCTCCAATTTGATGTCAGTTCGTCAATAGACTCGTCTCCGAATCCCCAGCCGTAGTTTGAAGTAACGATTGAATTCCAACTAAAAGTGGAATGGAGAAGTTGGAACCGACCAGAAATACGTTTTCTCCCGTTTTACAGAAAATCCCCTTTGTCCACAGCGAAGATCTAACGAATGATTCGGACTTTATCACGCGTTTATTACAGAAGGAAATTCACCCAGAACGTAACCGAATTAATTTAATAACAGTGCCACGCAAAGCTTTGACCAATTTTCAGCGCCATTTTAACCGACACGGAAAATCGAAGCTGCGTTGCACCTTTGAAAATTCCGTAGCAATTTCATTCTGACCTTTGATGATGTTCTTTTCGCCTACGCTTGTGCGCGACTAATTCCGTATCACAAATTACTTTCTTGGCGCGAAGGCAGTCGACGAAGGTCGCATTAATGAGATTTCTTCCGTAATGCGACGACAAGCGACGCTCATAATTGTCGCTGGGCTGTGGCCGTCGCGATCATTGCGACGAACGTCATTGATCGGCTAACAATATCCGTATTACGTGGACGAATACGGTAACGGGACTGACGATTGTATAGAAACAGTGGTAAGAGACTTATCGATGTATGACATCGCACGAATGTTGCACCGACCTCGTGGGCAATGCTAATGGAGATAAGCACCATTCAAGTTCCTCTGATTTCGTTTCATGATTAACCATCGGAGTGCTCGGACGGTTTTAATGCTACGCAACGCTCTTGGTAGCATCAGGTACTACACGATCCAAAGATTAAATCGTATCTGATCGTGAAGTTATTGAAATGAAGTTTGTTCTACAATTAATCCCAAGTGTGTGTCAGACATCTTTATCTATTTCGTGGATGTATTCTCATTGGATAGAATGGATTCTTGTTGTAACAATTCGTTTGTGGAGAACTTAAATAGCAAACTGTAAAAAGTAGATGGAACTTACGCTACTTGAAGTTCAAGTTCATGTACTTTAGAGAGAGCTTATAAGCTTGACTATTGCACTCAATGAGTAGTACAGATATCAAGATAATTAACTACGAAATTAATGTTATACTTAATACAATAATTAAAAGAATTTATTCATTTTTAGAAATGTTTATTTTATATTATTAATTGATCTTGTAAAACAAATGAATATAATTATAAAAACTCCAATAATTGAATTGAAAATTCGATATAAGTATGATATAAATGTAAACATGTACTAAATCTAATTTTTAGTAATTTAAAAAAGAAAGAGAATGCTGGGAATAAGGAGAACATGAAGTTTCAGGTTGTTGAAGATTCAAGAATAAATGTGTGTATACATATAATTATATCCATGAGTATATTCATATTAATACATTAATAAGAAAACTTAAAAATCCTAGATTATACTAAATTATAAACTTCGTCACCAATAAACGTTGAAATGCACTTTTTCCGTTTGTCTTGCGATTCTCGACGAAATGAGACCGGAAATTGAGACAGGAGATAATTAGCCATAAAATTCCGCGAGGGGAGAAGGTGGATGGCCAAAAGCGAGCCAGGAACGTCGAGGGCGAAACGTTGTCTCTATAATTGGCCAGCAATCGGATTTTCACTCGTCTCTGGTCGCTATCATAGATTACAATTAATGAAATCGTCGACCGTAGAGCACGTTGGAACGATGTGACGTCAATCGCATGCTAGCAAAAGGCACTTGCCATCAAGGACGCCATCGCCTGCCCCCGATTACTCTCGGTTCCGCCATTTTTTTTTCCTAGTATGTGTACACCAGTTGACGCACACGCCTAGATCGTCCATAGAAATCCGAATTTTGTTGTCCGAAAGCTGTAATTCCTTATTTCGAAATTGGAGGAAACATTTGGAAGCATTCTATGTTTGGAAGTTTCCTTGGAATTGGAAGTCTGGTTCTATTTCAGAGTTGCAAGAATATTTTATTATTTATCCTAGCTGTTAGAGATATGTTTTCTAAAGCATTTTTAGTAGTTGTTTGTTAGCAGTTGTTATAGTATTCTTAGTGGTTGTTAGTAATTGACGAACTCGATTTGTTATGCTTCTATGGGATTACTGGAAAGAAAAGTATGTAATTCTGTAATCAAAACTACAATTTATCGAGTGTGTAATCTACACCAGAACTAGTAGCACCAAAATTGAAACTAGACTAACTTAGTGATGTCATCTTGTCTTCTTGTGGAAATTTTCATGATTTCCACACATGAAGTTCCCTAATACCACACTTCATATACCAATAAATACCAATATTATCCTGCCATTACTTTCATTTCCTTACAGAGCTATATAAATAATTTTTCGGGCGTATTATTTACCGAAACATCATAAAATTAAGTCGACGTTGCTGGTGTAGTATTTAAATGCAAATTGTATTGCGAGGCTAAGGTTAAAATAATTTCGTAAGCGGGGTTAACCGTGTCGATCCTCTTTAAGATTAATATTTTCCTGCGGTTAGAACAGCTTCGTATAATTTAATTTATTTTTCTTTTTATTACAGGAAAATCCATATGGCAACTAGTCTTGGAACAATTCGACGACCTTCTAGTTAAGATTCTTCTATTAGCTGCGATTATTTCTTTTGTAAGTATATACCATTCGTTCTATTTAATTATTTATTGTTGAATAACTAATTAAAAATATTTTATTAAAAGTAGATAGTTATTCAATTTTAGAAATTTCTATTTATTAAGTTTATATCCATAAAATGTCTTTCTTTCTATTACAATTTATCATGCATCTCATTTAACTGGTCACACTGAAAAGGTAGAAGCGTTTATGTGAAAATAAACTATGACACTATTAGTCATATTGTTTTTTCCACATTTAGAAGCATTGTTTAACTATTTAATTTAGTAGTACAAGGAAAGGGTGGAGATATATTTTAGACAGATGTTGGTAATTGAAGCATTCGTGGTAGACGATGATAAATTGCAAACGAACAAATTAAACAAATAAATGGGAGTCTTTGAGGGATCCCGTTGAACTGTTTGCAATTCTCGCGAATAATGAATGTTCGAATAACACACAGCGACGACTGTTGATATTTTTAGATGATGACGCGAAAGACGTTAATTAATAAAATCGAAGCGCCACATTGTTCCTCCAAGAGCTGCTAAGTAATTATTAGTTGGTCAAAGTCATACTATGTTTACGAGGGTTCAAGGCTCACTCATTATAAATACATCTAGTTTCAAAGGTGAAAAAATAGCACATCGATTTCTTGTCGCTATGAAAATCTCATTACCTTTACGCACGTGTAGAAAATTCGTAATGGACGATACGCAGAATGTTTTTGATTTCTTTGACGGTAACGCATTGCCAAGTAAAGTAATCGTATTTATTCAAAATATCTGAAGAACAAAAGCAATGTATGCTTCAAATAAAAAAAAACTCAAAATTAATATTTTAAAGATTTATTTATTTCTATCTAATATTTTTGAAAGAATTAATATTCAGTATTCGAAGTAATATGGAATTAAAATATTCATAATGCAATTCGTATTTACGATTAAAGAAGAAAATGTTTATTCAATTGGATATTTTAAATTCACGTACCGTATATAGTGATCTATTAAAAGAAATGATGTTACAGGAGAAGAATTGTGAATGGATAGCAAATATATTTTAGTCGTAGTATCAATTGCATTCATATGAACTCATAGTAAACTACATAGTTACGGACATTTTCTTTGAAAAATTTAAAAAGACGTCGTTATGGAAAATTATGTTTCTCAATTGAAAAGGGGCCTTCATTGTAGGCTGTTCGAGGATAATACAATACAATATAATTTTCTACACGAAAAACCAATTTCATTGGCTCATACTATCAACTAATTAGTTGTTTCCGATGTGTGACCACCGTATCAGCTTCATTTACTTTACCCTTCACTATAACTTGCAATGTTTAATCGCGTGAGATAAGGTCGCAACATCCAAACAATATCACTTTTATCTTCTCTTACGTCACATTCGAAGCAATATATCACCTCTACATTTCTTGCATTTCCTATTCCAAGCAGCATTACCCTTACCTTTTCTCATGTCCTTCGTGTCAAGTAAATATCTCTCTTGACTTTTCTTACGTCTCATTCCAAGCAACATCACCACTTTTACCTTTTCCCATGTTCTTCGTGCCAAGCAGTGTCACACCGTTACTTGCACCATGATTAACTCAACGATGTATTCTGTCCGCAGGTATTAGCTTTATTTGAAGAACACGAAGATGCGTTCACGGCCTTCGTCGAGCCCTTCGTCATTTTGCTCATTCTCATTGCTAACGCCGTGGTCGGTGTGTGGCAAGAACGTAACGCTGAGTCTGCGATTGAAGCGTTGAAGGAGTACGAGCCCGAGATGGGCAAGGTTGTACGAACCGACAAGGCTGGTGTCCAGCGAATTCGAGCTAAAGAGATCGTGCCCGGGGACATCGTTGAGGTGTCCGTCGGTGACAAGATCCCTGCTGACATCCGTCTTTCCAAAATCTTCTCCACCACCCTCAGGATCGATCAATCTATCCTGACTGGTGAATCGGTCTCGGTTATCAAGCATACCGATCCTGTTCCTGACCCACGCGCTGTCAACCAGGTAGATATTCTTTCAAAGGGTTACCTTGTTTGAATCTTCATTCGCACATTATTATTTATTTGAGACTTACGAGAAAAGATATATCAGATGACAATCTTGCGATGGAAACCCTTTCTTGGCTTGAGTCCAAAAAATCACTTAAAAAAATTCTAGTGTTATACTTTTCTAAACATACATTACGTTTACCGCAAGACTTATCATTGTGATATAATAGTATCTAAATGATCGATGATAATACATTCTACTTCACTGAAAAGTTTGCACATGTATGGAAAAATGATGCTACTATTACTATAATACCGAAAGAAATTAATTCATATTCATATATTTGAAAATATCGATGATATTAATATTATGGAGTTGTAGCCATATAACTGCAGTGGGAATGAAAAAGCTAAAGTAGAATTTAATCAATCTATACCTTAAAAGGCAGTGATACTTGTATACAAAAATAAAAATTCAAATGGTCATTGAATTATGAACCTTTATGATATAGTTGTTAGTAATCACTGCTTTAATATTGACAATAGATATATTAATATCTTCAACAAACTAATTCAATATCTCATTAGATTCGTATTTCAAGTATACTTTCACAAAGATGTAACTCAGGATCTAACACTAGAAAAGTATCCGACATAACAATACCTAACATAGAATTACGGGAACATAATAAAATATTATGGTACTATTTTGTGTACGTTTCCTTGAGTAACAGAAATCTTTAGAACACTTCTAGATATTAAAATTCCTCTGTACATAAAGGCATTGTAATGTTCCATCCTGAAACTTCTGTTTCAATTAATGTTAAATAGCTTCCTAATTTCAGAGATACTCGTTCTTGAAAAGGATACAAAATGAAAAGATCTAGGTTGAATTTCTATTACAAAATCTCTACTATCTTCACAAAGCAAGCAAGCAGTGTCGAGCCATTAAAAGAATGTTCTTTCTAATATAAATCTCTTCTCTTCAGGACAAGAAGAATATCCTGTTCTCTGGTACCAATGTCGCCGCTGGCAAAGCTCGTGGCGTGGTAATTGGAACTGGCTTGAACACTGCTATTGGTAAAATCCGTACCGAGATGTCCGAGACCGAGGAGATCAAGACGCCCCTGCAGCAGAAACTCGACGAGTTCGGCGAGCAATTGTCGAAGGTCATTTCCGTCATTTGCGTCGCTGTCTGGGCCATCAACATTGGACACTTCAACGACCCCGCCCACGGTGGATCCTGGATTAAGGGAGCCATCTACTACTTCAAGATTGCCGTCGCTCTTGCCGTAGCCGCTATCCCCGAAGGTTTGCCAGCTGTGATCACGACTTGTCTGGCTTTGGGTACCCGTCGTATGGCCAAGAAGAACGCTATCGTGCGATCTTTACCGTCCGTCGAGACTCTTGGTTGCACTTCTGTCATCTGCTCGGACAAAACTGGCACTCTGACCACTAACCAGATGTCCGTTAGCCGGTACGCCATCTTACCAAGTTAACGCATAGTATTGTATTTATATTGTATAAAATACCAAAAAGAAATAAACACCTGTATATTTGTATTACAGAATGTTCATCTTCGAAAAGATTGAGGGCAACGACAGCAGCTTCCACGAGTTTGAAATCACCGGATCGACCTACGAGCCCATCGGCGATGTCTTCTTGAGGGGACAAAAGGTTAAGGGTCAGGATTACGAAACCCTGCATGAAATCGGCACGATTTGCATTATGTGCAACGACTCGGCCATCGATTTCAACGAGTTCAAACAGGCGTTCGAGAAGGTCGGTGAAGCGACGGAAACCGCTCTCATCGTCCTTGCGGAGAAGATCAATCCGTTCGGTGTCTCAAAGAGCGGACTGGACAGGCGTAACGGAGCTATCGTCGTCAGGCAAGATATGGAGACAAAATGGAAGAAAGAGTTCACCCTGGAGTTCTCTCGCGATCGTAAATCCATGTCGTCGTACTGTGTGCCTCTTAAGCCAACCAAATTAGGTACTGGACCAAAGTTGTTCGTCAAGGGCGCCCCTGAAGGTGTCTTGGATAGGTGCACGCACGCACGTGTCGGCTCTAACAAGGTTCCTCTTACCTCTACTTTGAAAAATCGTATCTTGGACTTGACCCGCCAATACGGAACTGGCAGAGATACCCTTCGTTGCCTTGCTCTTGCCACTGCTGATCACCCGATGAAACCCGACGATATGGACCTCGGCGATTCCACGAAATTCTACACATACGAGAAGGACCTGACATTCGTTGGTGTCGTTGGTATGCTCGACCCCCCTCGCAAGGAAGTATTCGACTCCATTGTAAGGTGTCGTGCCGCTGGTATTCGCGTTATCGTCATCACTGGAGACAACAAAGCCACTGCTGAAGCCATCTGCCGACGTATCGGTGTCTTCACCGAGGATGAAGATACGACTGGAAAGTCATACTCTGGACGTGAATTTGACGATCTGGCTCCGTCTGAACAGAAGGCGGCTTGCGCCAGGGCTCGTCTCTTCTCCCGTGTGGAACCTGCTCACAAATCTAAGATCGTTGAGTACTTGCAGAGCATGAACGAAATCTCGGCTATGGTGAGTGGTTTTATCAATAGAGGCTCTTCAAATATTTTAATTTCATCAACAAAAACACCAGTTTCCTATCATATCCTGGTATCCTAACTCGAAGCCCTATTTGTCTCACTAAATGAGAACTATTAATTATTATTCTTGTGTCGCGATAGACTGGCGATGGTGTCAATGACGCCCCTGCTTTGAAAAAAGCTGAAATTGGTATTGCTATGGGATCTGGGACCGCTGTAGCAAAATCCGCCTCTGAAATGGTGTTGGCAGATGACAACTTCTCTTCCATTGTCGCCGCCGTTGAAGAAGGTCGTGCTATCTATAATAACATGAAACAATTCATTCGCTACCTTATCTCTTCCAACATTGGTGAAGTCGTGAGGTTTGTACATGAAAATTTGAGCGAGGTATCCAATGGTTGACAATACTTGGAACACCTTATTTAATTGTGCCTATCAATTGTAGTATATTCTTGACTGCCGCCCTTGGTCTTCCCGAAGCTTTGATCCCTGTTCAGCTTTTGTGGGTCAACTTGGTCACTGACGGTCTTCCAGCCACTGCTCTTGGCTTCAATCCTCCTGATTTGGATATCATGAGCAAGGTAACGTTTCCAATATACAAATTATATTTAATTATCAAAATTAAAATAATGTATAATTACACTTACATTGGTACAGCCTCCCCGCAAAGCCGACGAATCTCTCATCTCCGGCTGGCTGTTCTTCCGCTATTTGGCTATTGGCGGATACGTAGGTGCTGCAACTGTTGGATCAGCTGCATGGTGGTTCATGTACAGTCCAAATGGCCCGCAGATGAGCTACTACCAACTGGTAATTTCTACTTCAAATTGAGACTTATACTCTGTGAATTATTAATTGTTTTGAGATTAATTTTAATTAATAAGTAATAGTCAATCCTGATCATAGCGAGTACGGATGCTATAGAATTGAATGGAAAGCTGATACATTAACAATAGGATTAAAACAGGCTTTGAAAATACTGACATCGCGAATGTGACTTAAAAGGTTATAAATAGTTAATAATCGCTAAGAGTAAATGTTGCCAGTTCCTTGGTGCTCTTTATGATCGAGTGTTCTTCAGATCGACTATATTTTATAAAATAGCACACATTTAGTAATCCGAATACAAGATATCGTGAATTTATTGTACGTGTTTGAATCATTATGACAAACGTTGCAACTCGCAGACTCACCACTTGGCGTGCTTGGGCGGTGGCGAAGAATTCAAGGGCATTAACTGCAAGATCTTCACGGATCCTCATCCCATGACGATGGCTCTGTCTGTACTCGTAACCATTGAAATGTTGAACGCTATGAACAGGTAACGCGGTATAAACGATCCTCTTCGCGAATACTTGAACTATTCGTAATGTACACTTTATTTTTGTGTTTTATTTCAGTTTATCTGAGAATCAATCTCTCATCACTATGCCGCCCTGGTCTAACTTGTGGCTCATTGCCTCTATGGCTCTTTCTTTCACACTCCACTTTGTCATCCTTTACGTCGACGTCCTTTCGGTATAATAAACAAAACATTGCCTACCCTAACCTTCAATGTTCCGTGAATGTAACGCTTGCCAATTTGCATCTGTTCTAGACTGTATTCCAAGTTACCCCCCTAACGGCCGAGGAGTGGGTTACCGTTATGAAGTTCTCCATTCCAGTGGTACTTCTTGACGAAACCCTGAAGTTCATTGCCAGAAAGATTACAGATGGTGAGAATCCAATTTACACAGTGCATTGGATCGTTCTAATGTGGGCTGTGTTCTTTGGACTATTATGTATTTGTCCCATATAGAACATCCGTGAAACAAGATTAGTCTAACAGACGATGTTTTTCCTATGGAAAACATTTACAACTGAGTTCTCGGACTTGCAATTGCATTTAACTAAAGTTCTTCCCCGTTGCCCGGGAAGGTCGAGATAAGTTATTAACGAAGTGCGTTTAAGTGAGATTTTAACCAGTTTGACTGTTGTGCATGGTGTTAGTACAACCATACAAATTTGCCACCAAGGCCCACCATGCCCGCATCACACCAGTACCCTGACGTCGCTCTACAATCATACGGATTTCAGTGGCATCGAGTGATAAAGAGACCCATCGTAATCAAAACAAATTGTGATTGTTGAATTATTTTCTACGAGTGCCTTTTAAACATTAACTTTTCTCTGCAAGAAAACACCCATCGATGTTCTTTCTAACTTATTATGTTACACACTGCCCCTACCTTCTAAACCCCTTGAACACTAATTGCATGCCCTCCTAAACACAATGCACTTCTAAACACCATTTATCTTGGGTAGCTATTGTTAAGTCCTTTAGCTCATTAAATAGCCGCCTTATTAGTGCGCGTATGCTAAGTCTGACGATGTCTTAGCAATATTTAGAAGGAGACTAATTTTTTTTTGTTTTTTTTTTTTTTTTTTTTTTTTTTTTTAATTTGAATTCAATTCTGTTTGAAGAAAGTAATGTTTGAAAATGTTTTTTATATACTTTGTTACCGTAGAATACAAGAACACTTGAAATGAGTTAAAACATCGACAGAATGGGGTCCCATAGCATGATATTCATTACTTTTGACATAGCTCTAATGCTGGGCATTTGACCTTAACGCACACACACACATACACAGCAGCTCACTTTACTTTTCGGTTTACAATAGATGTTCTGGGCTCTTTTAATTTATTATACGTTCTATCTGCTTTTGTTGTTGCTTATTAAAAACGGTCTTGTTAATCGATCCTTAGCATCAAGAGTGTCCGCTTCAATCAAGACGTCTAAGCTGGAACTGCCTGATTCGTTGCTGAAATTTCAAGACAGAGATAGTGCATGAAGTTTAACTAAATGGATCTCATTTCGAACCTGTACATTATGTCTTCCTTCCCACCGAAGTAATGCATGCACAACGGTATTGATATAATACATCCTCTAAATTCACCTCGTAGAACAATTCGCTATTAGCTACTAGGAAAAAAGTCTTGCCGTGCTCAACAAATTATCTATCATCGTTTCATTCAACTTCTCTTCAACTGTAATAATCAAATAAGTATAATTGTAGTACTTATGTAATTTGATTCAAACGTTGTTTAACTTCGATCGAGAACAGAGGTTAAAAAAAGCGTCTTACTCGTATGCAATCGATCGAACGAGCACGGCCGGATCTTAACATCTTGCACTCTCATTGCATTCACTTGATCTTTTTACGTGTACCTTATCTGTGTGATTTACATGTTGAATGATCGATACCATACAATAGATTTGTATACCACTAATTTATGGGTACGGACTGCAAAGGCTCGTGCGTGTAAAATAAGAAATGGACATTGAAACTCGATCGTCTCCAGCAGTCCGTATCTCATCGTATTAATTCCCCTCCCACCCCCGGAGGGTGCTCTGAACACGAGAACGCTCGATCCTAGAGATACATCTACGGTTCCTATTAGCGACGACGGCTGGTCCATCGATACCAAACGAGAGGTCGAGTCGTTCGTCAAGCTCCGTCTCGGTCGTAGCACAGTCAAAGTAAGACGAAAGTGGCTACACGTGTTCCTGAGATTTAATTTCACCGAGCAGGTTCTGGTACAGAGAAGGGTAAAGTCAGGCTGCATACTAACAGAGGTCTCGAATCGACTCTTACACAATAGTCAAGACACTTTTACGCTGTTACAATCAATTCATGATTTAGCGATGATAAGTAATAGGTATAGAAACTAATTTTCTGTCCTCACATTCAACTCTTTATCTTTAGAAGCAATATTTACCTACCACTTTTCTTTATCATAAATTATTATATGTGCATTCCTGAAATGTGTAACTCAAGATTAAAAGTTGGATGGTTTCTTTGAATAAATAAGTGGTAATTTTACCACGGAAAGGCACATTAATTTCTACGCCTTATAATATACTTGGTACAAAGAGCGTTTGGTTTTGGTTCTGCTAGTTGCATTCATCTTAGCCGCGACACTGTTAATCTACTGACTATTGATTAACAGCATCGAGGATTAGGATCTGCTAGTAATCAATATTGCTCCACGTACCAAAGAATACTACTTATCAGATACAGGAGTGTTTTCCTAAATATATTTATCTTTAAAAGGGTGCTCAGACTTCCAACCGGTAAGCGGCCTGGCCTCTAGATTTCTTAGAAATCCTGTTACCGTCGGACACCTTTCTCCTGTCCCCGTTCCCCCGGTTGACGCATCAACGTATAGTCGTCGAGCGAGTATCGAGTTCAGACACTGCCGAAAACTACACGCGCCACATGCGAAAAAAGAAAACAAACAAATGAAACAAACATCCGGGTGTCGTCACGAGTACGTGGGCCTTTTTAACGCAATCTGACTGTCTCTTTAGTCATTTTCATTTGGGGATTTTTTTTATAAATCGTGTATGGGCAGTCGAGCCGCTATAAAACGAGCGCGTTTTTAGCAGCAAAAAGAGAGCCACTTCTCGACCCGTGCAAACGCAACAAGACTGACGATGTGGTTCGAGGAGTGGGATTTTGTTGTCCGTGCATCCACCCCCCGTTCGACGTGAATACATAATAATTTAATTTTGCGTTAGGGCGATTACGCGGCAGAGTTCTCGTCCGCACTACGACATAGCGTAATATATTATTATTATCATCGGCTAGGGCGTGATACTTTTGTTTTTCCTTCTTTCTGTCTTTTTTTTTTCTTTCCTCTTTTCTTTTTTTGGTATGGGCATAACTAAACTTAATTAGACAAAGGCAAATTGTGTGACGACGTGTACCGTTGCATGGGTGCACGGGTGCGTGGTTTGCAGCACGTGCGCGCTTAGATGGGTATATCTTGTCCAGATAAGCAATTTCAAGTCAGATAAACCTTTATTAATAAGATTACTTGTCGATTAAAAACTATGCTTAGACGAGTGACCATTTAACCCTCTGTTACATAAGAATTTTATTTACTTAAAAAAAGAAATTTTTCTTGGTTGTTTATATGTTCAGGAGTTATTGAGTTGATTCGTAAATAACATCTTTTCTTAATATACAACCGTTTCTTAATATATAATTTATTTTGGAATGTACTATTACTAGACTGCGGATTTGATGTATTTATGTTGTACAATAATATAGAAAACATACATCAAATATACATAATGTATGTTGAATATATTCTACAATTATTACAATAACACTTATTTCATTTTGCATAAAATTTTCAGTCTAATTATTACATAATAAATCTGTATTATTTAGTAGGCAAAAACTTGCTACCAACTTGCGTGTTTCTCGAATGATTGCTATCGCAAAGTTTCTTTTATAAATCAACCCAATAATGTTCAAGTTGAATATTGAGCAACAGAGTTCATAAAGCTATCAGATGTCCTAATAATATTTTTTCCTTGGTTCAATTTCCTTTGTTTGTATCGATTAAGCCACAGAGGGTTAATTCTTGCTGATAAATCTCTGTATAGAATTTTTCTTGTTAAAATTGTGCTCATCTTTGGCATGTGCAGCCCCCACTCACGCACCCACCTGATACCGCTTGAAAGTATCGGAAAACAGCACTAACGTTGTGTGTTTTGTTCGAAGTAACGCAATTTTTACTTTGTAACGGTCACGAATAAAACCCGTGCCGGCAGATCATCCTCGACAACTTTGCCCGTTGCGATATATATTATATATATATATATAATTTGATTTTCTCCAGTGTGATTATGTTTGCATAAACGAGAAAGTTCGAATCCTATCTCCAAACGCGGGGATACGTCGAGGACGGTGATTGCCGATGCGAGCAAAAAACAAAGAACGTTCTGATACCACCTCACGACGCTCAATAAACGTTGGAATTTTCAATTTTTTTGCGTTCATTCGTGGTATACATATATTTTGTAAGTACTTGATTGATTGTGTGAATTGTGTTTTGATCTGGACCGGAAAATGGAAACAGTGCCATTGATGAAAAAGAAAAAAAAAAGAGTAACGACAATTCTTTAATGCGCAGCGTTACGCAAAATAGAGAAAAAGCATTCCCCCCTTTTGCGATTCACGTGTCAGAGACATCGTACGTGTTTGTTATCATCGCGGATCCTAACGGAAGAGAAATTATTTTGGAATTGTTCGAAAAAAAGTATATTTTGACTTCCCCTCTCGATCGAAGATGCATATGTATAATAACGAAAGTCACTGAATTATGTTAACCATAAGAAATATTGCAGAAAAAGATAGCATTTGGTGGGCTACCTGTCGTTTGAAAATAAAACGCATGCGTGTTAGACTCATATACCGCCATGATTAAAGCTCCTATGGCGTCGTTATTTTATTTTATCACCTTTACTGACGTTTGCATTAATTAAGAACGATACAATAAAGATGTATCGCCCACCAACTTGCCATCTCCATTCCAGTTTACTATAGCTCAGTGACCAGAGTTATCGAGTAAGAGTGCGTTCAGACAGACACCGCTTACTAAGGAGCTCTGTGAGCGCTCACAGAGCGAGTAAGCTTTAAAATTGATCGTTCCCAAATATAATGACCGCTTCTTGGTAACAATTTCAATTCAATTTATTTAAAGTTTACTACTGGGTAGGTCCTACAGACCTATTAACACGTTGTTTTTGCCTGGTAGTAGCCAATTAGCGCAAAAAGCAGTCGGCATGTTTGAAAGCGAAAAGCTTATAAGGACTCCGCTCGCAGAGCGACTTAGTGAGTAGTGACGTTTCTAAATACAGCCAATGTTATCAGAACTCGTTGACGATCCGGCTAGTTTTCTCTGCACGTGGATCGAGCCTTTGCCTAACGCTCCGTATCTAATCTAATACGGTAAACCTACGATGATGAAACCCACGATCGCATCGTTCGTGCAAGGAAGTACCTATTTCTATTGATAGTAAGATAATAATAATAATAATAATAATAATAATAATAATAATAATATTGATAATAATATTAATTAACTTATATAGAATGCAATGACATTGAATGATTTTGATTGATATTCGCCAGACGCACTTGTGGCGAATCACGGTGTGATCCTAATTAATTAGAAATCTCGATATTTAACGGTCCGACGAGCCGGACGAATTCGATGTAGAGAGAGAGAGAAAAGAGAAGCAAAAACACGTATATATATATGCATACATATATACATATGAAAAAAGCAAAAAAAAAAAGAGGAACACGCAAACGTAAACGTCGAACAAGCCTCCCGCAACCGTTTGCTGGTTACGTTTATAATAATACTAGTTCACGCGTACGATTGATGATTGTAACTACACACATACACGCAGAGACACGAGTTACTACGTCCTACGACCACGGCGCCATTGGCCCGCCATTAGCAAAAGTTTGTTTATTTATCGTGTTTTATTTATCTCTTTTATCATTGCATTTTTTCGAATCTAAGAATCGGAACGAGAATTATAACAAGTGAAAGTATCACGACGATTATCAACGACTAGCGACGGTCCGACCTAGTGCATTACTTGTTATAATAATAAAAAAGAGAAAAAATCATTAATGTTAACAGTGCGTGTTCGTAAAGCAATGATCGGCCTATTAATCTAGAAGAATGAAAAACGAAAGGAATACGGACGAGCGCGATTTTTTCGGTTGGAAACAGTGGCATCTGCCGCGTGTATGAAAGTCGAACACTTAATATAATATGAACGTAATAAGTGTTTGGTCCAGTTTGTCTCCAGCTACCTATGTAACTTTCTTTCTCTGTCTCTATCACTTTACTATCTTATCAGTGGTTCTTAACCTTAAGTTTACGTCACGTGTTTTTAGAAAGATCCTTAGTCTCAGACTAATGTTTCTCTTCTGATGAATTATATTATAGTAGCAGTTTTGGGAACTGTATTTAACATCTTCGTAAACTTGACAAATTGTATTAACCTAACCATTCATTACTTGCTGAACTGCACAGTGGTTAGGAATCACTGCTTTACACTCTACCTCCGAGTATGTATCTGTTCTCATCTCATGAATCACCGACTGTAAAAGTACTACGAGAACCATACCACAGAAATTGGTGACTCGATGGAGGGGATATGTTCTCGACCAATTGAATCGTGTAACTGTGATCGGATCAGCCGCGAAGTGGATTTGGCAAACGTCCACGACGTTCCATGTGTTAACCATCACCATCATGGTCATTCTGTGTCCCCGGAGTTGTTGTTTGAATTTTTGCATGCATTCTCTGGATCAAAAAAAAAAAAAATATATGCAATACCAAAAGACCGATGTTCGGTGACTGTCGTGTCGGCCTGGAATGACCAACACTCCTAGTCGAGGAAGTTGACCCCGACACACTTTGTTTGCTAACTCCTGCCTGCTGGTGTGTGAAAACTATTCAGTCACGGAGCAGACCTGCACAGTGATTGCGGGAAGGTGTATGGATGCCTCAGGTAATGTTTTTCATTTACTATTATTACACTAACCAACAATTTTATTTTCTAATGCATAGGCAATCATATTTATGACTGTCTTTAGAATTTTATAAAAAGGTCCACTAATAGGAGTACCCTTTGATGTTTGAAGAAAGGAAATGAAAGTAATTAAAAAAGGAAATTAAAGTAATGGAATATTTGTTTGTCATATATGAATCTTTGATGGGTAATATTTCTGCATATTAATCTAGGTATTATTATTCTATTATTATTATTATTATTTTAGAGGGATAGTTCAAAGTTTCTTCTAATTGTTATCTACTATATTACTTATGATGTAAACTAGATTGATTCATACATGTTGCAGTATTTTATATTAAAAAGTGTGTAAATAATAAGTTTAATACTTATTTTACTATTTGAAAAATAAATTGGAAATTTGCCAATGAAGCAAGTATCTGTACGATAAAAATCTTTGTTTTTTTTTAACATCAAAGGGTGTTCTAAACGTTTTAGTGCCAATATTAATTGATACTTTGACAATCCTAAGATATTTGAGTAGTTGACAAAATATTGAATACTTACTTGACCTAACTTTTATTCAGTACTTCATCTCTTGTTCCCTTAGTAAAAGAAATTTAATATATTGTTGAAATTGACCAGAAACTGTTTATTTTAGTATAAAAAATTTCAGTATAAGAAATCTTCTATTAGATAGTCTAATGAATATAATTAAGTGTATACTTTCAAAGAAACATTTAGCTCATTTGACTTCATAGAAAGTTTAATTCGCAGCAGATGGCTATTGAAAATTCCTTTCATTTTAAGAATATTAATAATGTAATTTAAAAAATTTAGTTTGTTTAGCAAAGGCTCATCTACCAAGGTGAAATATTAATTCCTCTATTTTAGTGGATTACCATGTAATATACACAGTCTTTCAAAGTTCATGATAGTCTAAAAGTCAATTATCTTCAATGGAGCAAATTTTGTTCTACATTTTCAATTACTTTTTAAATAAGAACTATTTAAGAAGGATACTCTATTTAAAATTGTTACTTGAAAAACAGGCTTTTAATTTTCAGTCTTTTTCGAACACTTTTTCTGCAAGTTAAATATATCTTTTTGGCTATACGATTAATATATGGAATAACGATTAGTTGAATAGTTGTGGAACAATACATGGAGTGACACGACATAACACGAGTCTAATCTTTCCAGTAGCCACCATTACAGTTCAACAAACACCAATCTCTCAATTTCTACCATACCAAATTTCTGGATCTCCAAGAATCCTCCCGTCACATTTTCTACTTGAATAACGAAAATTCCACGATGTGTTCGCAGTGGCACCGCCAGTGACGCCGCCGAAATAAAGCTCGAGCCGCGTAGGACGAATCGACACCTGTCCGGACACGAGAAATCGTCAAAGGCACTTAACACCCACCCGCAACAATCCACAAGCTGATCGATGGGGATCAAACGACAGAATAAACTAAAAAAAAAGTTACAAAACGTTATCGACATATGTATACACGCACACCGAACGTTACATACATTCTACACGCGTACACTCATCTGAACAAAGACACACACGTAAACCAAATTAGTAAAATGAAAAGAAAAAAAAAACAATTACGGAGGGACGCGTCTTGTTTCCATCGTACACCGATCGACGCGCGCCTTGGAAGGGTGGTTCAGGATTTTGAGAAAGAGTGGAGGGATGGGGAGAAGGGACAATTTGGAACATTCGTTTCAAAACGATCTCAGGATCTAGAAGGGAGTAGTAGTCCAACCCTAGAGGCGAACCGAGAGTTTGGAATGTTTAATCGAGTGGAAGACCAGCCAATGGCTGCATCGTGTCTACATCTTGTTGCAGTAAACTGGCAAGGTTCTTCTGCCAAGCACAAGGAACTGGAACCTGCCGAGTTCCGTAACGAAAAGACAGAAGGGTTAAGACACCTGCGACGACCATGCTGTACGTACCGGAGGGTGACGTCGACACAAAGGATCTTGGGGTCCTGGCCACCGTTACTCAACCCTTTCGCTGCTGAGGACGTGATCATCTAATAATTTTAGCCCAATATTGTCTTCCTTACAAAAATTCATAAAGGAGGAGGCCTTGATCTGAACTTTCAGTCTCAGAGTGCCTTCTTATACTTGAGAACACCTTTGAGAGCAGCGAAAGTGTTGACACTGTCCATTGATCCTTCACTGATGTCAGAATAATACTCAAGAGTCCCTGGGCTGTGTTGTCACGTGGGCCAAAGCAGTTCCTACTTGGAAGTCTTATTATTGTACTACTTATATGCAATGTTTAAGGGGGACCAAACCTCTGTTTGGTCCAAATGCATGGCAACATTGGCAAGTCGAAGTCAGGATTGAAGACTTACGGCTCTGAGAAACTTTCAAGATCACCACCAACAGAGGCACCTAACCTCGGGATACTTTCTACCCTGGAACTCTGCTAACGCAACGAATATGCTTCTCGTGTTTTCTCTCTTCTTTTTTAGTTTGAATCTATCTTGTCGAGCTTGAACAAATTTATAAAATAGCTCGATAATTGTCGAAAGGCAAGTTTCCTTTTGCTGGGATCAAGTCTGTTCCTTTATTCTGCCTTCCTTTCTCCGTTTTCTCTTCTTCCTCGTGTCCCTTATCTTGATTATACCTTCTCGCTAACGAGATTAACGTTCTCTTTGATTATTATTCTCTTTGATTTCTTCTTCAAAGAAACTTTTCTAGACAAAAGCTTCTCTGTCTAGTTATCTCTACCTTCATGTCTAAGCTCCTAAAGGGACAACGGAACACCTAGCTTTCTATAATTAAAATGTTGCTCAGTTCCCTATCTATGGGGAATCCCCTGTCGAAGTAATCAACTTCTAAGCTGACTAGGTTACGCTGAAAATGACCAGGCAGATCCAATCACCTTCTCACCAACAAGATGCAACCAAAGCCCCAAATTCTCCATTTCCTACCCTTTGGGGATCTTCTTTCAAAGCAATCAATTTCTAGGCTTCTTACTACTCTAGATCTAGACTTCTAAGGAGTCCTAGCATCAACACGCCTAGCTTCCCAGCATCAAGATGCTACCAAAACCCTAAATTCTCAATTTCCTATCCTTTGGAGATCCCTGTCGAAGATTCCCTTGACCTAGCAGTTGCTAAAACTTCGAATGCTCAGTTCGTTACCTGTGGAGTATCTTCTCTCGAAGAAACTATTTTCTAAGCTTCCCACTACCCGCTATCAAAAATTTCTCTGATCCAGCAATTGTTAATCTTCCTCTACGTCGTTATTGCGAAGATCCCGAGCCCAACCATTTCTCAAGCTACAGGACTCCAAGGGGCTCGCTATAGAACAGAGGATCGACTGGCCAGTGCTCATCCAATCTCCAAGTGTCGACGAGTAAAACGGTGAAGCCAAGAAGCCCAATGGAGAGGCGTTTTTCACTCCCTTCGCCATTTGGATCGAGTGCTACACTTTAGGACGAATAACAAACAAACCGTATTCCGATCGGTGACGTAACTTTCCCACGGAGGCTTCCGCGAGTTGACAAGATCGCAGGAGAAGTGATCGAGGATCGTTGATCGTGACGATGACGGAAGCCTCCAAGGCGGGCCACGCGCGAAACTTACGCCACTGAAGACAACACGTCGATGAAGCTCGCGAGGATACAACCAATTGTACATAATACGTTACACACGCGCGATGTTTAAAGAGGAAAATTATTATTATATATTAAGAGACATTAAATATATATATATATATATATTTTTTTTTTTCGCGAGAAGGAAAGCGCACATTTTCGGGACCCGGGCCTCGAGCGAGAAGGATTTGACACCAGTTGTGGTTTTTCATTTTTTTTCTCTACACCTTTGATCGCCGATTAATCACTCGGAGCTGCGCAGAGGCGGAATTAGCAGCCTCGGGACGGTTCTGATTGTTAATTAGGGAGAGATAACGACGTTGATGATGCCTTATCGCTCTTTCTTCCCTGGTTTTCCTCGTCAAGACTGATGGAAGACGACGAACAGCCAGAACCCCGAGCAACAGCGACTGACAAGCACCGACGAAGACTTCTGGCATCTTCCTTTTCTTATTCAATCTCCTTTTGCGTTTGGGGAGCCTTAGAGTAACGGGCAGAAGACAGAGCTTGAGGCTTCTTCTTGCTGTTGATGACGAACATTCGCTGCCCATGACAAAATGGCTCGTGGTCGTCGGTTACCGTGTTTAACCTAGATAATACTGTTTGTTTTTTTTTTTTTTTTAGGGTATTTGAAGTACAAATT